GTCTGGGGAAGGGGGGGAAGGCTGGGGGGCATCGGGTGGGAGGCTCGAGTCATGCCAGATGCAGGGTCTGCAGGCTGGGTGCTGGCAAGCTTGCACCTGGCACGGGTACCGTAGCCAGCCCGTGCCCCTTTAAGGGGTCCGGGGCCGGGAGGGGGGCAGATGAGTTTCCCTGGTGTTGGCCAGAGTGGCCACCAGGGAAACCTGGGGAGGGCTAGCCTCCCACTAGTTCGAATTAAGGGTCTACACAGCCCTTAATTCGAACTAGTAAGTTCGAACTAGGCTTAATCCTCGTGGAATGAGGATTACCTAGTTCGAACTAAGCGTTCCGTTAGTTCGAATTTCATTCGAACTAACGGAGCGCTAGTGTAGCGCCTATGAAAGTTAGTTCGAACTAACGTCTGTTAGTTCGAACTAACTTTGTAGTGTAGACATACCCACAGATGACCAGATACATACTGCATACAGCATGTAACAGTTCATGTCATCCTTAGCTGGGTGGGAACCCTCAGACGTCTATGTTTAAATTCTGTCCTTCTGCTTCTGTTGGGCTGTTTGCTGGGAGTCAGAGCAGTTGCATTCATTTCCCACCCCCACGCTCTCAAATCCCTCTTGCACTGAAGTGAGAAGTGGCACTATTTTAGCCTTTTCTCTGAGAAGCTCCCTGCCCATCTGAGCCAAGGGCGCACTGACCCATCATGTATCCAAGGTGCCCAAGAAATAGAGCCAGTACCTCCCCCCCTTTCCTCAGCCTACTAGCAGGAGGACAATCATTCATTCACTGGGAGCCAGAGGCATGCATTTTCACATGGAAATGTGGGTCAACGGCTTTCACAAAGTCAGAGCTGTGGGGTAAGGAGAGGGGGAAAACGAGACATGAGATTTCCAGTGCCAAAACCATTGCGGGAACCCTAGCTCCCTTGCTCTAATGCTTTCCTGTAAATGGAGTATTACTGTGCCGTTCACCTGACCTGATACACAAACACAGGCACAGAAGGGGCTGGGAGGCGTAAGAAATGCAAAAGCCTGGCGAATGGATGGAATCTGAGTTGTTTTGATTCCGCTCCCTTTCTGCCTCTCTTCCCCCACTCCAAAGCAGAGAGGAGGAGCTCAAAGCCCAGAAAGATTAGCATTGTGGAGGCTGAGGAGCATGCACACCAGGAAGAATAGGCTGTACCAACTGGGGCTAACTCAGCCTTTCAAAGCATAGGAAGACATTCATTCTGAGCTGCAAACAATAGCAGCAGCAACAAAACAATCCCGGAAACCCAGAAAGCTAGCTACATCCTGGCATCATTTCTGCTGTGTGTGTGTGTGTGGGGGGGGGGGGGAATGTTTCTGCAGTGATGGTTTATTTCCTTTATGAAAGGGAATAAGCCTCAGAGCATGGATTCTTCTCCTTCCTCTCCTGTCCCGCCTGGGGAGGGGGCAAGAAGGCAGGCAAGCCTGTGCTGCATTTGTGCTGCTGCTTTCCAAGTGTGTTTCTAATCCCCTCCTGCTAATGAGAATGTCTCAGCCCCACATAGTGATTCCACTGATGCTCACATCAAAGCTGTGGAGGGGAGGAGACTCAACGGGGGCTTTGTGACCCCTCCTGGTTTGACCGACTCAGGCTATTGTAGGATTGGCTGTCTCTCTCTGCCTGGCACACTGGCACCAAACATGTGGCTCAGCTTCCAAGTAACACAAGGCCCTAATGATGCAAACTTGGATGCCTAAAGCTAGGCACATGCATACATGGATGACTGTCAGAGGCGCTGAGCGCAGTCTTCAACTACAATGACAGGAGCTCAGCACCTCTGAAAAACAAGCCACCTGTTTTGGTGCCAAAATCCAGACGCAGACTCCCAAGTGTGAAAGGGCAGGCCTAAAAAATTCCAGTGCTCCCACAGAAGATTCAAGCGTGAAGGATGGCCTAGGAGCATGGCCAACTGGAGGGATCCCATTGTACATGCTGGCTGGAGGAGAGTCTTGAAGGCCATACCTGAATCGTGCAAGAATGAAGTGGGGAGCGGCCATCAAATCCCGGGACCCACATCACGCTGGCATTACTACTGGTGACTTGGGTTATGGTCACATTGGAAGGTGGGAGAGGCATGGCTATGGAAAAAAACAAGGGAAATCTTTAGTATACACAGAACTGAGTAGAAGGTCACATGGATATAGGCACTGGATATAGTCTAGGGATCTGGGGTTTGAGCATAGGTGGCAGATTAAATATATTCTTTGGGGATATTGAGCCTTCCCCACACTCCCCCTGCAATGGCAAATGCTTTCCCATGGGGCTGAGCCCAGGTCCCCATTGATGGCTCACAGGCCAAGAGGAGCCCGTCACAGTGTCATTTGATGCACACATCTGTGCAAAAGTAGGATCCTCCCCCTGTGATGCGCCATTCTGCCATCTTCCCAGCTCTGGGGCTGCCATGGGGCTTTGCCTGCCTATTTGGGCAGGTGCCCAGGATGGCTCTGAAAATAGATTTGGGACAGCTGAGCCCCCTCTCACTCTGGACACCCACCACCTCAGATCTTGAGCCTACTGAAGTCAGGCCATGGGAGATGGTCCCTGAGAGCTGCTAGTTGGGCTTGCTCATGCTATTCTAATTCCTGCTCAACAAGGAACGTATTCACTGTTTGGTTATTGAAGATACATACAAACACATGGCAATTGTTCCACTTTCCCTTACACAGTTTCACACGGAACTTGAATTGGTAGTCCCAGGCATATAGTTATTTACCCACAAAGCCCCCCTATTTTATGATCAGGAAACTGAACCTTGGCGAGGGAAAATGATTTATCCAAGGTCAGATTCCAAATTAATGTCATAGCCAGGAACAGAACAAAGCTCTTCAGACTAGTAATTTACTAGGACTATTCTGGCACCTCCCCCCCCCCCCCCCAGACCTCTCCAATCTCTTCATTGGCTTCCAGTCTTTTAATCTACTATATTTGAGAGAGTTTGTGTGTCTCCTTTTATGTCCATCTGTGATTCTGTTTGTTCAAGAACTACTAAATGGATAAGAGCTAGGAACACCAAATTTGATATACAGCTTCCTCTTCTCCTAACGTAAAGCCAGGACAGGGTTTGGTTGTGCCAGGACAATGGGATGTGCCTTGAATGGGATGGTTTCACATCAAATGGAAAGGAAGGGGCATGAGAGCAGGGACAGTTATAGTCACAAATGACCACAGAAGGCAGCAAGCATGGGGGACAGTTATACCCCAGAATGACCTCAGGAGATAGCAAGCACCCTAGCTCAGGGGAGCAGTTGCTGGCTCACCAGTGTGCCCCCCATTGCCCCAGGCCAGCCCACACAGTCCTTGCTGCGCCAAAGAGAAGCCAACAGCCTCTCTTCCTCCTGCCTTGAGCCCCCAGCCCTCCCGAGCCCCCCACCACTCCCAAAACTCTGCTCTGACTCCTGCACCCTCTGCCCTCTGCCCCATCTCACCCCACAACCCTGACTCCTTCATCCCATCAGCTCCTCAGCCCTGAGCTCCTCCTCACCCACCAGCCCTAACTCCTTCACCCCCCACACTGCCAGCCCCCTGCCCTGAAGGACCCGAACATTGCTGTAAAGTCTGCTGGTACATTCATACAAGCTCCTTGTCTGCACTTTCAGGCACTTGCACTTTCTCTCCCCACATTTAATCCTAATCTCCCTCTCATTCTATTTGTCTTTCCCAAACCTTGCCCTCTAGCATTCTGAGTGCCCTCTTCTCCCACAGTTGTCTCTCCATTCATACTGCATCTTCAGCTTGAAACAACCACCAATCTCATGCCAGGCAGGTGCCCTCTCCCACCTTTGGATCCTTCCTTAAAATCTCCATTGGTGTCTACAAGCCAGAGACATCTCCATTTCTCCCAGGCAGTGCCCAGTGCCGAGAGGAAGAGAAAAAATGATTTTAAATCACCTTTTCACCTGCCCTGCTCTTGGCCTTAGAGTCCCAAACCTAGCTGAAGATTCATTCACTGATGTCTGATTGTGAAAGTTGGCTAGGACGTGCTACAGTGTTGCAAAGTATAATTATCATTAAATATCTGAGAACTCAAGATCCATTAAGACTATATGCCAGTGTGGACCCAGCCCAATTATTTACATGCTAATTTACTGTTAAAGATGTATGTCAACTCTTTTTAAAAGTATTTTTTTTTATTTATGGAATGTCTATAGTTTTAAAGTTATTTTGGGTGAAGATAAGAGGTGAAGTTACAGCACAACAGCTTTGTGGAGTGAGCTACAGAGGAAAAAGTCACTGTTATTCTGGAATCCAAGGCTATGTCTACACTGCAGAGCTTTTCCAGGAGACAAGATCTGCCACGTGCAAGGAATGCCATCTGCTTTTCAAAAAAAAAAAAAAAAAAAAGTTTTTTCAGAAAAGCCGACATGTTTTTTTTGGCATCCTTGTAAACCTTGTTCTACGAGGAAGAAAGGATGTTCCAAAAGAGTTTTTTCCGACATTTGGCCCCATGTAGACAAGCCAATGCTGGAAAAGCCTCTTTCGGAAGAAAGGCGGAAAAAGATACGCAAATTGCGGTTTGTAATTTGCGTATTTTTTTTCTGACTTTTCTTTGTAGTGCAGACATAGCCCAAGTGTCCACAGAGGGTGATATTCCACATGATGTATTGTGGGATGCCTATTCTGCACTAGCCATTACAGTCAATTTCCCCATGTAGACAAGCCCTTAGAAAGCATTTGGGAATACCAGCCTAAGTCAGTCACAGAACAGTACTTTGCATTCTTGGAAAAAAAACACACCCCACAAAGGATTTGGTCTACACTTGGATTCAGAAGGGGTATTTTAAACACATTAACTACCAAGATCGTAAAATCTAGTATAGACACAACATTTGTTCTTACTCTCAGCTGTGGCCTGAAACAAATGTTTATGACAATCTATACTTGACTTTACAATCATGCAATTAACACATGTTAAAGCACAACCAAAACATTCAAGGGCAAATGTGACCTAAAATAAAGGGGGAAAGCCTGTTGTTCCTGGTTCTCTATTGATTCAGTCTATGGGAAAAGAAAACATGACAAGAGCTCTGGGATTCACAGAATGACAGATGTTCGCAGAAGGCTAAAAATTATTTATTTTAAATGAGGTTTTAAATGGTATAGAACACAGAAATCTATAAAATCGTTGGTATCTGTTGATTTTCATGGCCCCTTGTGATCTCCTTCCCTCTTTCTTTTCAGCATCTAATGAGATGCCAGTGCATTGACAAGAGGAAAAGGCTTCTTTAGCTCCAAAGAGACCCACCTATCTCCAAAAAGGGGAAGATTTCCCCATTTGCACTTTAGAGCATGTCTAGCCACATCCCTTGTGAACAAGTCTGCTGCCCTGACGCTTTACCTTTGTGAGGAAAATCTGTTGTCTTACATCATGTTTCCCTTCCTGACCCAGTTGTGGTTTGTTTTCAATTTCCAATTTCACTGCAGGGGTATGGGCCTGCATATCAAGCAGCGAGCAGCCATTACAGCACACTGTGTGGTTCCATCTGCTGAAAGCTCTCTGCTCAGTTCTAAGGCAGCTCAGTAGGAGCATGCCCGCTCTCTTCCTCCACCCCCCCATCCTTCTCCGCTCGGGCTCTCTCACCTTTAATCCAAACAGTGGCTGTCCGAGAAGAAGACAATCCCTTTACGTTGTGGGCTTCGCAGGAGAAAACCGTGCTTTGATTAATACCTGGAGATCAGCCAAGGCAAGACAAAGAAAACAACACAAACTGCTGTCGAGTCCAGCTTCAACTACAAGCAGGAAATTTGACACCCGATTCACACTGACTGTGCAAACTGGGTAACAACCAAAAGCAGATAGATTTTAGTGTCATTAATGTGTCGATTGCTCATTAAAAAAGTGAGAGGCAGGTGGCCCGGAAGACAAGTCTAGATCAGCGTTTTGCAGCACAACAGTGAGGAGTGAAGGACCTTTGGGAAGGAACTCACTATTGGGCCCGGAAGACAAGTCTAGATCAGCGTTTTGCTGCACAACAGTGGGGAGTGAAGGACCTTTGGGAAGGACCTCACTATTATTAACTTCAGCTTCCTTCCCCACCCTGTCCCTCCTTCCATTTGTGGCACTCACTGATTGGGAGCTCCTGGGCAAGGACCATGGGGCAAGGGTCATGCCTAGAACAATGGAGCCCTGATCCTTGGACACTTTGCAATCCAAATAATAATCAGCTTCAAGCTGGGGTAGAAATCCAGTTTGGAGCATGGAGTAAACAGGGCTTTGTACTGTCAACTTAGGGCCTGACTGTCCCTTGCTTTACACTGTAGTTCGCCATTTACCCCTGTGCATAATGAGGGCAAAGTACAAGAAAGATTCCACTAAATAAGACTGGAGGCATTTGGCACCCCTTTGCAATGAGGTAAATGACTACACCAGCCAAAGGGCAAGGGAAGATCAGGACCTTTGCCTCCAATGACCATTTGGCCACATCTCAAAGCCAAAACACAATGCGGTACTGTGGATAAGTTTCTCAGGGAAAGTTCGGGATTGCTGCTTACAGGCGAGTCCAGACTGAGAGGCATTGGCAAAACCTGGAGAAGGGCATCCAGCACCTGTCCTGGCTACACTTGGACCCAGTCTTCTTTACGGGTTCTGCTCAAGCGAGTTCAAAGGCTACAGCAGCAGCTGTGCGTGCAAGTTAGGGTGGAGCTGCCATCTCAAAGCTGTGTGGAGTAGCTGGCACGACGCCTGCCCTCGCTGTGCCTGACTCATCTTCACGGGGACTGAAAGTGACAGGGACAGAAAAGGCTGAGGGGTGGTAAAGAAGGTGGAGGAGGAAAGGAGAGACTGAAACGAATGACAGAGAGAATGACACATTTTAACACCTTCCACTAGTCCCAGCAAGCCATAGCGAAAGACATTCCAGCTGCCAACAAAGCGGAGGCACAATTATTCTTGTTATTATTTTGATTGCAGCATACGTGCCCAAAACACGGCAGGCAATTTCCCAAGAAAGAGGGAAACCCGGGAAGAAGATTGTGAACCAAGCTCCCATCACAGGCTGTGCTTTCCCAGCCCAAAAGTCCTTTCCCCATTCAGTCAGGGGCTGAGTGTCGACTTCGAACTCAAGACGTTCCCTTTTTAGTAACTGCTTTATTATTCTCCTTCACGATCGGATACTTTTTTCTGCCAACACGAGCATGTTGTCCTGCCTCCGCAGACCTGCTGTTTCGACACACCTGTGAACTCGGACCACCTGGTGTCAGCTTACACAGCTTCATGCAGGGAAACCTGTTCTCAGTTTCAAAGACAAGATCCAACAGGCAATGTCCCGAGGATGCTGGCGAGTTAAATTTTCTAAGTAACCGGTAATGGGGTTTCAAGTCAAGAGGATCATTTTTAAAACGTGATTAAAAAAGAAAGATACTGAATTATTCACAGACAGCTCGATACTTTAGAGCCAAGCGCTGCTCTGTTTGATAAGGGGAGCTGTGTCCCAAGGGGGAGACTGGACCTCAGCTTGCTACCTTCATTAAGACTCTCCATAAGGACAGAAGGCCCAGGATCTCTAGTTTTAACAACCTCATTCCAGCTTAACTCTCAGGACAATGCTGCCTTAAACCAGGAAAAGCTGGCCGCTTGGCGTGTGTGTGTCTGGAGGGGCAGAGGGAGCAAACAAGGCCACCTGTAATGGATGAAAGTACTAATAATGTGGCTGAAGACTGCTCCACCCTAGGTCTTTAGGACTAGACAACTCTCCGCTATGGCCCCAAGTCCCTTTCCCAAAGAGATTAAAGCTCTGTGACCCGTCATGAGATTGGGATAGTGGGTGTACACAGAGCATCTCCTTAGTCTCTCTCCCTTCCTGATAGTCTGTCGCCACCTGCTTCCATTTTGACTGGCAGATTATATCATCCAGGAGAATGTACGTTTCCTTCTTAAGAGCAGCACAAAGCAGCAGTGTTACTCTCTGATGGTTGGTTGGGGCTCAGCGTGAAGAGTAGATAGCTGCCATCCATTTCCTAGCAGACAGAGGTCCTTTTCTCCATTGCCCACCCCTTCGTGGGTCATCTCTTTCACCTTATAGTGTCTCCCTCCAGTGCAGATCCCATGCACGCCAATAGGGAGGCTTGCCAGTCCCCACTGGAACTGTTCTGAGGCAGAAGACTGGTCCAAGGCTGTCAGCCTGCCCCCTTCAGCAGCAATCACTTCACGCCGCATGTTTACAATTCAATTGAGTGACAAAGGTTAATTGGGCAGGTGTCCAGCATGACTGGGACAGAGGGGAATGTGCAGCATGGTTGCCGGAAAGAGGGGGGTGGGCCAGTGTCCAGCACAGCTACATGGCAGTGGGGAAAGAGCAGCATCTGGCATAGCTGGAGGGGGACAGGATGTGTCCAGCAGGTCTGTAGAGGGGTGAGCACTGGCTGCAGACATCTGGTCCCATAAGCCAAATGTGACAAACAGAAGAATCTAATTCAACCCAAGGATACACCCCATGTCACTTTCCAGCAGCTTGCAGCCAGCCACTCCACTCTGCCTTGTCCTTCTATGGAAGATATCCTGGGAAGCGCCTACCCCTTTGGGTGACCCGCGTTGGACACTTGATACAGGTTTGTCTTAGCCTCCAGCTTTGTAGCATCAGAGCATGGCCAAGGCCCAGTCTCACATTACACAGGTATCCAATGTCACTGCACACCTTGACACAGGGCAGCAAGAGAGTTCTCTTCTCCTTCCCCCCCCCGCCCTCCTTGCACTGCAGGCAGCATTAATCTTGGAGGCAGCCTTACCTGACACATTTAGGATGGAGGGGGAGATGTCAGGAAGCCCCACTCGGAAGTCTCCCATCCACCAGACAATTGTCACTGGCTCTGGTGGGCCAACGGCAGCACAGGCCATGTGGAATGGGGCATTAGGGGACACAGACAAATCTTCCGGCTCCACAGTAAAGTAGGGCACACCTAGAACAGCAAACATGGAAGGTGTAGCAGCAGGAGAGAGTTTCCCTCTGCTTCCACCAGGAGAGTCCTACGGTCTTCCATTAACACGAATGCCTACTGCTTATAGAGCAGCCATCCCTCAGAGATCTCAGAGCACTGCACAAACAGCCAGGGTTATATTTTCCAAAGCACGTCAGGGCATTAAGGCTACCAGCTCTCACTGAAAGTGAGCAAGATCTGAGCACCTGTTCCCTGAGGTGTTTTGGACCTCTGCCCTCCTCCCTCGGCCTTCGTGACTGAACCCACTCCTATATTCATACCCTACACACTAATGGGATAGTCTTTGCCCAAAATGTGACCTGTGAGATGTTCTTTGAAAATTAATACTCTGGTCAATAATTATCATGGTGAAATGTGTGTAGCAACATCTTGTGCAAAGTTAAGAAATCCCCCCTGTACAATGCTAAAGACACATGTTCAAACTCCTGCAGCTTTGATTCAGTAGAACTGGTCAAGCAGGCCTGTCTTAAACAAAGGGATGAGTGTCTACATCCATTTGCATATAAACTGTAAACAAAGTCCTCAGACAGTCTGAGAAGGGGGGGGAGAGAAAACAAAGCTGCATTTTAGCATATACAGGTGAAAAACAACATGGAGGTTTCCTTGCTCTCAGCTGGAAAGAACTTTAAGTAGGGGCTGTGCTCAGGAAAATGTTCTTCAAAGGGTGACTGAAGTATGAAAATAAGGGGCAAAAACACCCCAAGTCCTCTCTCCCTCCCATCTGTCTCTGTTCCCCTAAGATGACAAGAGAAACAGCCATTGGAGTTTGGGAAGAAATCCCGGCCTGAGACTTAGTCAGTAATGTACTGAAAAGATTGGGGGAAGAGGTTCACTTTGTCTCTAAGGTGCCACACGACTACTCGTTTTTCATGTTTAGTTTGTTACATTTAAAAAGCTATTTATGTTTATTTTCTTGCAGCCATGGCTCACTTTAATGCCTCATTACTTGTACTCACTTAAAACCTCCTTCTTCATAGTTAACTAAACTTGTTTTATTTTTCAATTAAAACTAATCCAGTGTTGTGGATTGTGTGGGAAACTCCTTTTAAGGTAGCAGACTGTTGCATGTTGCTCCCCTAACAGAGGCAATGGGCCTATATAATCTAGACTGGCCAGGAGAGGGCTGAGCAGTAAAGACCACGTTTCTGGGGGAAGATCTGGGACTAAGAGTGTGTGCTCCCTGCAAATAGTAACTAAGTTTGCTGGAAATCAGAATGCGGCTGGTGTTTGCTGACAGGCTGCTGGGGTCAGAGCTCCTGGACCAGGGTTGTTGTCTGTGAGGAACCCAAGTTAGAAGCTATAGCAGAAAGGCACCGACACACCCGAGATTGCAGGACAAGGTTGACAAAGGTCTGGATTGCACCCTGGAATGTTGTAACCACCCAAAATTATTAAGCCCCCATGCTCCACTTACAGGGTAGTTTTTATAAAATTACAATGTTAGTCCCATTTTACAGAAGGAGAAACTGAAGCCCAGAGCTCCTATGTCCAACATTTCTGGATACAACCATTATAATTTTGTATTCACGTAAAAGGTGCCTGGCCTAGATTCCTTTGCCATACATTAAACATTAGGGTTGCCAGATGTCCAGTTTTTGCCCAGAGAGTCCGGTAACTGTGGTTGCGCACCACTGTGCTTGACCTTTCTGGAAGCTTCCAGAGCATTTCCCCAGATGGAGCATGAGATCAGATGTCCAGTTTTTGCCCAGACAGTCCGGTAACTGTATCTTCTGTCCAGTAAAACAAACAAACAAAAAAACCTAAAAAAATATTTTCTCGGACAGCTGGCTGGCGGGGACATTTTTCCCCTGCTGCGTCTTTTTTTTTTGTTGTTTTTTGCTCAGCAAGTTTGGTTCCCCTTTTTGCTCAACCAATTTTTTCCTTGCTGTGTTTGGGATTTTTTGCGAAGGTATCTGGCAACGCTATTACAAATTCAGTCCCATAAGAATGGTGAAATAGCAGTTGCACTCAACCACAAACCAGAAAAGAATTAGCCAGAGAAGAAATTGTCACAGTTCAGGGCAACTGTACCTGTATTCCACCTTGGTGGTCCACCAAAGGCACTCATGTATAGGTTTCTGGCTCCACAGCTGTCACATCTCTCAGGTGGAGACCTATATCTCTCTCTCTCCTGACCAGGGTTTTTCCTAGTTGCACAGTTCCCTGCCTGCACTGTGAGTTCCCCAGGAAGTATGACTGCCTAAGCAGGCCTGCTTTGACTTCTCAGAGGCTAGAAACAGTTGTACAGTAAAACCTGCACTATCCGGCACTTAACTATCCAGAAAACTTTAGAAACCGCCAAATTTCTGAGGGGCTTGGCGTGGCCGTGCGGTGCAACGCTTGATCCGGCCGGCCAGGGGCTGGGCGCGGGTGCGTGGCGCTTAGATCTGGGCGGCGTGAGGCTGGGCGCAGCCTCGCAGCACACCGCTATGATCTGGCCGACCAGAAGTTGGGGCCCAGCTGCTGGCAGCCCCTTTGGCGCAGGGGTCGCAGCTCCAAAAAGGTTGCGCACCACTGTGCTTGACCTTTCTGGAAGCTTCCAGAGCATTTCCCCAGATGGAGCATGAGATCCAATAGTTTTGTAGCGTCTCACCAGATAGGTCTTAGATTGATGGGACCCTCAGATAACCAGAATTTTTAGATAGCCGGAACGCCCTAATCCCCGAGCGTGCCGGATAACACAGGTTTTACTGTAATGATCTGCAGTTAAATTACTGCACAGCCCTTTCTAAACAAGCAAACGTATACTTAAGGTGAAAGCATTCCAGAGAAACATTAAAGCAATCAAAGCTCCACACCAGCTAATAAGCTTCCCAGAAATAGGAATGTTAAATTTAGTTTAATCAACTAGTCAATGAACTTTCCTTTTTAAGGCTGGGGCGCAGTGGGGGAGACCCGGTGTAAGCCAGGAATCAGTTATCCTGGCTCGTGCTAGATTCCCCCTGCTGCATTTCTTATTTTTAAATGTATTAAGAGCTGGTAGTCTCATAACACAATTAAAAAGTAGAGGCGCAGAGTCTGGGACTGGGTAAACTAGTCGAGGGACTACTCACTTACATCCCTACCCAGAAACTACTCCAGCTCCAACAAAGGCTCTGGCAGGGAATCAGTCTTCCAAACCCCACACAGGGGCTGCATCTAGACTGGCATGATTTTCTGGAAATGCTTTTAACAGAAAAGTTTTCCGTTAAAAGAATTTTCGGAACAGAGCGTCTTGCCTGAACGGGAGCAGCCTAGTCGAGGGACTACTCACTTACATCCCTACCCAGAAACTACTCCAGCTCCAACAAAGGCTCTGGCAGGGAATCAGTCTTCCAAACCCCACACAGGGGCTGCATCTAGACTGGCATGATTTTCTGGAAATGCTTTTAACAGAAAAGTTTTCCGTTAAAAGAATTTTCGGAACAGAGCGTCTTGCCTGAACGGGAGCAGCATAGTATTTCCGCAAGAAGCACTGATTTCTTACAGTAGGAAGTCAGTGCTTTTGCGGAAATTCAAGCGGCCAGTGTAGACAGCTGGCAAATTTTTCCGGAAAAGCGGCTGATTTTCCGGAAAAACTGGCCAGTCTAGACACAGCCAGCGAGTTTCTGTAGTTACAAGTTCATAATGGCTGTTAGCTCAAAACAAGCATCCATGAATCTATATGAACAGGGTGACCATATGTCCCGTTTGGGCCCGAGCAGTCCCTTTTTAAGCCCTGTCCCAGCTGTCCCACCTTTTATGGCAAAAGTGGATATTTATCCCATTTGCTCTTGTCAACTTGATCAGCTGGCAAGAAGAAACAGGACAAATGCCAACTTTTGTTAAAATAGTGGGGTGCAGAGGAAAGTGAAGGGGGGCGGGGGTGTGAGCAGCAATGCCAGCTCCATGCAGGAAGGGAGACAAGGCTCACACAGGGCTTGGGCGAGCAGTAATGCCAACCCTGTGTTGGGGAGGGAGTTCTCAGACTACCTCCACATGGGGCAGGGGCATAGGCGAGTGGCTGATGCATGCAGGGGTGACTAAGGGTGGGTAAAAGGCTTTGGCCACTCACAGGGAGGGAGGATGGGGACAGCTCACATTAGCCTCATGCATCGTCCTTCGGAAAACATGGTCACCCCATAAATGAGCCCCTCCTTTTTGCAGATTGAGCCTTGGGATCACATCAATCAATCTCTCCCCAGGGCATAGCTTTAAAAAGCTGGAGTTCTGAATAACCAGAGACAGTAGGGAACAGGGGAATTTGCATTTGCCTCCCCCATGATATTTCCCAGGAAATCCACTTCACACACATTGTCCCAAAAGTTCATTCTTGGCTTCTACTTTTGTTCAGTCAAATCCTCTGGTCATCCAGTCCCAATGTTGTAATGATGTGTAACCTTTGCATTGAATACAATGGACTCAAAAGCATTTAAACTTAGTAACACCTCCCAAGGACGCTGCAAGAACTTGTCACATCTGTCCCAGAAATGAAACAAAAAGCAGCCCTCAGACCAGCCTGGCAACTGTCCTGAAGGCCAACTACCTCATAGGAATGGGGACTGTCTGTTCCACAACAGAGGGCTTCTCACACACACCCGCTCTGCTGTCAGGAGTCAGACTACCTCATAGGAATGGGGACTGTCTGTTCCACAACGGAGGGCTTCTCACGCACACCCGCTCTGCTGTCAGCTCTCTCTCATGCAGTCTGATCCACAGCCCATTAAAGTCACTGGAAATATTCCTGTTGATTGTAAAGGGCTTTGGAGCAGGTCTATACCAGCGTCTCAGTTGGCAGCAGCTGCGTCTTTGGATTTTATACTGCTGTTCATCACTACATTATGTAGGTGCAAAGAGAAAGGTGGTCACTCACAAACACTGGTCCCAAGCTGTTCAGCTTTATAGATTCAAAACAGCAGCTAAAACTTTACCTGGGTATCAATAATGACCCAGTGCAGCTGGAGCACTGGTGACACGTGCTTCTTGTGAGAAGCACTGCTTCAAGAGGGCTGCCACAGAAAAGCAACCCCATGTATTTTCATCTAAGTGCTTAAATATGGATTTAGATGCCCAACTTTAAATCCACTCAAGTTTGAAAATTCTGGTATAAAGTCTTTTGACTCTAAGGGTATGTCTACCCTACAAGTGCTATTGCAGTGCAGGTATGTGTCTGTACCGTAGACACTTACTACAGCAAAGGAAGGGGCCACTGCATCATTTCAAAGTTACAAAGTGCTAGAGGAACTTTAGTTTTTCTTTTTAAAGGGGCCACTGCGTCATTTCAAAGTTACAAAGTGCTAGAGGAACTTCAGTTTTTCTTTTTAAAGTCACACTTTCCACAGAGTGTTTATTGTGTTACATTCCCAGATATCGCATGTTGTCATGTTTTACATAGGATTTCAGCCCACTGAAAATTGTATCTATAGGGATCACACACTCACTTCTCTACTACAGGCACCCCTGGAGTGGAATAGAGTAGCCACTGTGAACCAGCAACACTACACTATTGGGGATATTTTTAACTATATTTTTTTCCTCCAGTTGAAGCCACCAAGGAAACGTTACATTGACAAAACATTGAAATTGAATCTGGAAGGGACCACAGGACAAAAACCCAATTCTTGTGACAAACACTATGAAAGCTTTAATGACTATGAATGACTAGGACCCTGGTTTTACATCTCCATCCCAAACACAATACCCCCAGTACTTCAGTGCCCCCGAGACTATGCTGGGGCACTGATTCAGCTTTGCCCCAGAGAGATGAGGACCATCTAATAAACCGACAATACAACTTCCCAGTGCTAAATGGCTGTTCCTGCAGATCTCCTGTCCATATATGGAACAGTCTTAATACTTGACACCTAATGCGATGGAGATAGCCTAAAGAGGTATGGTATAAGGTAAGGATGTTAAGGAAAGGGTATTGTGCTAATCATGTAGTTGATACAAATTGTATCAACTCCACGATTAGTTAATAAGAAAGAGCCTTACTACATTTAAAAGGCAGAGGTGCAGCGTCCCAGACCCACACAAGCTGGAACTGCTCAGTCTCAGCTTGTCCTGGGTCCAGCAGCCCGGCCTCCAGCCTCTGCCCTCAGTGAACCTCGGCACACTGCAGGCAGTGGCTGCTTTGTAGCAGACTCCCCTGCCCCTGCTTCCTTGGAGGGAAGGGAGGGCAGATGGCACCGCGGAGACAGTGCTGGGGGGAACCAGCTTTTAAGCTGGTTCCCCCCTTCCCTGGCTCCTGGTTTTCCCCCTATACGGTAAATGCATCAACTTCCAGATGGGCATATGTTCTAGTGACAGGTGGCTATCAGATGTATCAAAACTTCCACTGAACCAGCCTCTCACACCAGTCAAAGCTCTTTTTAAACAAATGGTTTCAGAAAATAAGTGTGTTTAAATTAAGTAACCATGTTGCAACTCAGGATAATATAGTTAGGGAAAATTTATATTTACATAGCTAACTTTATACTAGTTAGATTTAAAAATTAACTTTTACTTAACAGGTCAGAAGGACAAATGATGTCACATACGAGGCTCATTCACCAAATAACGGAAAGAAAGTTTTAATTAAAATTGACCCAATGTCTCTTAATTTACTTGAGTCAATTCCCATTTCTCCTACGTAAGGGTTCTGAAATGTCAGGAGACAGAGTGCACAACAAGAACAGAATCTAGTGCATGTAAGATAGTAGGGGAGTTAGACAGCGTGTAACCACATCAAATGGCTGGGCCTGCAGCCAGTACACTCCCACCCCCACTCCCGGGGAGCCCACGCCACAGAAGCAGCTGTGCAGGGTGACAGGTAGCACTGGTTCCTGCCTGCCCAACCACCCCTGCTGCCCCTGTAGGAGGCAGCAAGGAGGGCAGGTAGTCCACGGAGCCGACACAGACAGAGAGCTAGCTTAAGAGTCAGCTTCCTGCAAGTACTGGCTCCCGCCAACCCCCCTCCCTTCATCCTCCACATTGCTGCCTCTGAATCAAGAAGCAGCAGCATGAGGGGGATGGGGAGCAGCAGATCCACTGCTTGTGCTGGCTCCCCGCAGGCACTGGCTCTTGCTAACCCTCTCCCTTGTTGCCTCTCATACAGAGGCAGTAAGGGGCGGGGGGAAGAGCAAGAAGTTGAGTACTCCTCTTGACTGTCGATTACTTGCTTACATCCCTAGTATAAGGAGCCACCTCTCTTCTCTGGCTTGGGTAACTGTTAGACAAATGTGTAGAAGCTTTACATTTATCAGGCCAGGCTGCAGTGCAACACGCATTAAAGATTATACACTTAACTTGAGTAGACTTTGTTGCAGTGCAAAAAAGCTTTGGTTTGAATAATTCTGGTTATAGAAATTCTAAAGCAAAGGGCTTCTCTTGGACCAAAAAGAATGGTGCTAAACCAGAGGTCTGTGGATAGGCAATGGTCCATGGACGAGCTCCTGGTGATCTGCAGAAGGAGCCATTTGAAGACCCACGCAGAGGGAGTACAAGGTGGAATGGGAGGTGAGAATGGGAGATCTTATGCATTAGAAGATCTTTCACTTAATTCCTGGTCTACAGAATTAAAAAATGAGAACCCTTTCTTCCACCACTATTACTTCCTACTCCTGCCCCTTAA